TGACTATTAGCATGGGTTTCACTGATTCCAACGCTGCGCTTATTTTTCGTGAAAAACCATTTCCTCACAGTGTAGCACTTAAAATAAGACCCAGCTTCACATATTTAGCCACCTTGTTTAGCGGTCAACTCATTATGGAGAGAGTGGGTGGGGCGATCGATCTATATGGGTCAGATATATGGGCCTAACTTGTTTTGAATTGATACTTTCTACTCTACTTTGGAGAAAACTCCATATCAAAATGGTCGATTCAGATAGTACGGAACTTTTTTTACACATTCATATGCTTTCATTCTTCCAGCAAATTATACGCGTGGGAAAAATGAAGGCGCGTCTGAGAAGTAAAACATAATGTTATTTTGAGTTTTACAGCGTTATAAAGTGGTGTCTTAGAAGAGCGGCTACGTGAAGCTGTAACCAGAGATTTAAGCTTTCGAATGATTACTAACACTCGTATGAAAAATTTTTGTCCAGCGAAAAGGGTCAACATTTCACTTGTGGCCATCTAACATATAAGTAGCCTTTTCTCATCCCAAACAAGTTTGGACCCAATTTTTCAAAACGATCTGTGGGATTTTGATGAACTCCACTGAACTCCACGGCGAACTGGATGATCAGTGGCGAGGTGTGTATTGCAGGATTATCCTTCTCTAAGCACTGCGTTCTACTCGTCTCATTTTGGGTCTGATCTGGAAATTCATGCCTCATATTTGTACTGGTACAAACGAAAGTTGAGAATTTGCAGTTTTTTTTTCGAAGATTTATCGTTTTGGAGTTCACGGATAAATGCACACGATGTGGCAATAACGGAATATTCTGCCGTCCTTCTAACAAAAAATACTTTTTTTATTGAGTGATTTCTCAGAACTCTTTTTTTCCCACGATCGTTTTGCCACTTGATAAATAAATTGTGGTGGTTCTCTGTATAATATTAAAGGCCGAGTATAGCTTCTCGTTCACGGATCTCTTCATCTGAGAGGTGAATGGGCAGTGTTGTACACGATACTATAAGAGCAATCGAGTGTACAACACTGCCCGTTCAGTGATTTTTCAATTAATAGCATGTGTAAATAGTCCCTCTGCGCTTCTCTATGTAGCACTTTGAGTCCCTTCGAGAGGATTGGCTAAAGACAAAGAGCCTGCTCTACTGACGAGGCTGCCAAGACCGAAACTCGTTTATTGGGCTGTACAAGTGCTCATAACAGACCACTTGCATGGCTCAAAAAAATAATCAGACATAGCGGATGAGTTTGTTATTCCACCGGTTCTCCCTTCCGAAAGCCGACACTTTATTCCGTCGGCAAAGAATAAAACAATACCGCCTTTAGGCAGGATCAAATCAGAATACTTGAAGAACTTTTTGCTAGTTTACTTCAGCACACTGGCTCGGTTCTTCACACGCTACCTGTCAAAATACAAGGTTCTCAATCAATAGGGAATCATGAAGGCCGTGTAAATGTTCAGAATAGGAAGCCTTCTACGACGTAGTAAATATCGCTCAGTCTATTTATTGTTCACCGTCTGAAACCTCCTTTCTTGTGTCATTCCAGACACGACTGAAAAAACACTGAACGAATGATAGCCACACGAATAGGCGGGGTTTCGAGAGGAATTCAGTGTCATTGACCAAGTCCACTGCATCACAAGACTCATTGAGCTTTAAGGAAGTTTAAGAGACAACTTTGTCTCACTCTCATTGATTTATGGAAACCTTTGACTCAGTGGAAACAGAGACAGTCGCAGTCGATCTGGATAGCCTGGGCGTCCCAACTCGATGCACAGCAATACTTCGTGAGCTATATATAAGCTTAAAGGCCAAAATGTCGTCGTTTTTCAATGATATCTCTACCGAGATAAGAAGAGGGGTTCGACAAGACGATACTGATTGCGCCGAATCATCCATTGCCAACCTTTGAAACGTTATACCAACTCTAAAATGGGACAATACGAAAGTGTGTTTCTATGGTCGACAATTACATCATCCTCTCTTCTCTGGTGATATCGTCCTCAGAACACCGTGCATCAGCTACGGAAGCGAAAATTGACCGATTACGACCGCGCCTGTGGAGCGATTGTTCTCCGATTGAATCGAAGCTAACGATGTTTATATGGAGTAGATTGATTTCGAATGCCCCATTCATACTGAACGAATGATTATCTCCGAGTGTTCCATCGCGTCCGTGTAGGTCTAGAAGTCAACATGATAAGCAAGCTTGCTCCACATTTGAGTGGAGAAATCGGGTAATTTCTGAAGCGTTCAAGAGCATCAAGGGTGTAGTGAAGAGGTCGAAGAACGTATGACTCCACTTCTTGCTATTCGACCTAACAGCTATCCCTGCCTTTGAGTATGCATCAGAAATGTGGTTACTACGTAAGTAAGATGAAAAACCGTTTGATGTTATCAAACGCGCAAGCGAAAAGTCGATGCAGAAGTATCCGGTATCTCGCAGATGAGGAAAAGGACCCGAAGTTCCGACCTGCGTCAACGATCAAAAGGCAGAGATGTCACTTTACGCACCAGGCTATCGAAGATAAGGTGAGCCGGACAGGTAGTGCACTTTAACGACGGTCTATGAACGAGAGCTGTGTTCTTTCCGGCTATGAGAGGACAAATAAATTTTGAGCTCATTCGTTGGACAAGCCATTTTGTATAGAAGTACTAGTAACCATTTGAAAGCTTCAGTCTTTGGATAGAGCTGTACGTGACCGGTTTTCGAAAAGACCCTTATAACGCTATAAAGTCCAAAATAAAATTGTGTCTCCCACGCTCATATTTCTCTTTGGACGCTAGTAATTATTCGACAGTGTAATGCTTGCTGAATCCAACGCTATGCTATATCTTAGATAGATCGTTTCTTTGCAACGCAGCATAGAAAATCAGATTGATTCACATGCGCGAGCAAGGTGATCTTGGCAAGTTCATGGGTTGCTTGATGAGGCGATATGTGGGTTGAGATGATGATCGATCGATTTTCGACCAGTATTATGAAAGTGCGATCTCTGTTATTCAATTAGGAATTGTATCTCCGTTTTGAAAGGAAAACTTCAGATAGAACATATGACCCTGCTATAAAAAAACTTTGATTACTTTTATTTTGCCATGAATACGGATAAATCAATCATCGTTATCATCATTTCGATGGAATTCACGAGGCTAGAACGTGTTAATTGCTTCCAAGAGTGCTGGTGAACATTCAGATACTATGAGGTTTTCCCTACACGTTCATATGCTCAAACATCATTCAATCGTTGCGCCAGGCGACCTTGCTGCCTCACCCAACGGTCCGTGACTTGGCCAAACTCAATGCATGTGAATCAGTCTAATTTTCCCTCCTGCGTTGCAGAAAATGGTCTTTTTAGGATATAAGTACAACGTTTAAGCAATATCCTATCGAATAATTACTAATAGTTTGAAGAAAGGGCTCCTGGCGAGAAAGATGCGCGTGCGAAGCTTAAGAAATTTCCTTTTGAAACAACATTAAAAAGGGTTTTTCGAAAACCGGTCTTGTAGTGCTGTAGCTCGTGATTTAGGCTTTCGGATGATTATTAACACTTTGATGAATAATTTCTGTTGAACGAATGAGGTCGGATAATCATTTGTTCCTTTATAACCGAAAAGAAATGAGAGGCGTTATCGACTGAACTCTTCGCGATGTAAAACACTACGCTGGAAGACCATCGACTCGATGGTGCGATCTTTTTCATGGAAGGCCTAGAGGATGTACATGATGTTCAGTAAATTCTCAAAGTGAGCAGGACACACTGAGCTACTCCTGCGCGCTAAAAGAAAGAATGGAAATGTACATCATTATCATTATTCGAATCATTCTGTCATATGGTCTGCTGAGAGTAGGTGATGACGAACGATTTACACATGCCGTCGATTGAATTAAATCACTAGATCGGCAGTGCTGTACACTCGATTGCTTGTGGCTGGTGTCTTTGAAATATTATGCGTTTCTTTCGAGTTTTTTCCCGAGAACTCGCTCTGTTTTGGTGGTTCAGCTTTTTGTTGTAATTTGCCACGTGAACACTGTTCCATCAAGCTTGTGTAATTAAACCATTATATAAATAACAACATTACTGAATCGACGTTAAATAACAAAGCATTTATAAATGGGGTTGGAAGTCAAGGAAACTATAGTACAGCAAACACAGAGCTCATAAAGATACCAAGAATGCGCTAGGATGAGCAGGGATTGCTCGAAATGAACTTAGAATGTGCTCGGATTGAGTGGTGATAAAGGAAGGTTGAGCTCACTTAGTCCACACGGATGATGCCCGAGCCCCGACCTATCGACTGACGGCGGTGATATGTAATCAATATGTCCTTACATCCTACCAGAGTCGAAGTGAACACTGAAGTAATTAGAGAATTAATCAACAGAGGAGAGTTGTGTAAAACGTTATCGGTCAGAAAGTAATTGGTGAAGGCCCGTTGACAATGTGCTTGTAAGCAAACGAGCTTCCATGGTCCTCAATAAGTAACCTACTAAATAAGGAGTTGAATAAAGAAGAAGCAGTACACTGAATGGTCTGCTCCTCAGTAAGGATCAATGAACATATTGATCGCGGAGACACTGTTAAGGATCGTTCCAATTACTAAGTGAATGCAATTGAATTACATTATAAACTAAGGTAACCGATAAACAACGACGATGACGGCGGTGAACATGGTGTGACGAGGGACGATGGAAGGACCTCTCTCTGTCAACGCGCGAAGCTCGAATAACGGTCGACCAGTGGTCCTTTTCCTGCTATATCAATCATTGGACGTGGGTTGACTGTGTGGGCGTGTCTTTCCGTTTTTCGCTGGTACTTTGATTATCGGTCGATATTATTGGATAATTGTAGACTGTGTCGACGTGGTATACCGTTTTCCGCCGACACAAAGTTTGAAGGTCGTCTTTGTCGACACGCTCAGATTTCAATATACCCATAATTTAATATATTTTGAAATAACGCGTTGTAGCGTAGAAAGAATGGCGTGCAAAACGGATGTAGGTAGTGCAGCGGTTCAGCACGTGCTCCCAAAAAGGGTGAGATCTGGGTTTGAATCCCAGATGACGTAGACATTTTTGCGCACCACTCTACATTATTGGTATATTGTAACAACATGTCATCGCAAGTGGCGGTCAAATAAAATGATTTGTGATTGATCATCTCATTATTATCATTTGAGCTAGCATGTCAAGTGGTCTGTTATGAACTCTTGTACAGCCCGATACACGTGTTTCGGCCTTGACAGCCTCGTCAGCTGGGCAGGCCCTTCATCTTTAGCCAATTCTTTAGGGGTGCTCCAGTCTCCCTACTTGAAGTACGCTACAACCAAACGATTTACACGTGACGTCAAGTGAAATAAGTCACTAATTCGGCAGTGTTGTACACTCGATTTCTCGTGGCTGGTATATTGAAATATACCGATTGTTTCGAGTATTGTCTTAAGACCACGCTCACATTTCAACAAATCTGATAATTAATATTTGAGTAGTATATCATGTAGTCTGTTATAGGCTCAATTATGAATTTGAAATATATTGAAATTTGAGTGTGGTTTTGAGAAAACAGACGACAGAAACGGTATAATATTTCGACAATAGCATCCATTAGCAGTCGAGTGTACAACACTGCCGATTTAGTGATTTGTTTCACTTGACGGCACGTATAAATCGTTTGTCGCCGCCTACTCTAGGTAAGGTGAGTGGTGCACCGCGAGAGGATTGGCTAAAGACGAAGGGCCTTACCGATTGACAAGGCTGTGAAGGCCGAAACCCGAGTGACGGGCTGTACAAGAGCCCATGACAGCCCACATGACATGTTGGCTCAAATAATAATTATTATGCCTTGCAATCATTTTTGAGCCACGCATGTCAGTGGTCTGTTAAAGGAGGGCTGACTTATAGAGCCCGATACACGTGCTTCGATCTTGCGATCTCGTCAGTCGGGCAGTTACCCTTTCTCGTCTTTTGCTAATCTCTGTGGGTGCTCCAGTCCCCACAATAAGAGTTAGCGACGACGTACGATTTACACTCTATGTCCAGTGAAGAACTCAATGAACACAAAGTGTTGTACACTCGATTTCTCGTGGCTAGTATATTCAATAAATCATAACTTTCATTTTGAATGTTTTCTTAAGACCACAGCTCAAAATTCAATATGCCTTGCAATCATTTTTGAGAAACGCATGTCAGTGGTCTATCAAAGAGACTTATAGAGCCCGATACTGGACTCAACTCCTATAAGTGTGCTTAAAGTCTTTTCAGTTGGAATAGTAACATGTTCACTGTTAGTTCAATTAAGTTGAAAAAGTAGAGTGGTAAACAGTAGTTTTCCGCTGTTTCCACCGTGCTTGAGCCCTTTGATGAAAAACGTGTTTTTTTTTAATTCGTAGAGCGTTCTAGTAATCATTCAATAGCTAAAATCATGTAAATTTCAAAGACGTTTTTATTTTCTAAGTCTTGCAATCACTTGCAAATCATTCATCCGTAGGTTTAATTCAGAGTGCTCGTTCATCACATTCCAGCTTCAAACATCGTCAAATTATGGAGTACTGAACTTTGCTTTCATCATGTGAGGTACCTTTTTTAAAATTTTTTTGAAAAAGTATAATGACATAAAGAATCGAATAGCTAACGTTGTTTGGGACAAAATGTCACACGTCATCGCTATAGTATGAATGAGTGAAAAAAGTAGAATCAGACGAATGATCCGTGTAGTTTGAATGAATGCTCAAAATAATGACTAAATAGAAATAATGCATGCATATGTCGGTAATTTTTGATTTATGTATGTTATAGAGGTTCTTCATGATCAGGAGAAACAAATGAAATGCCGATCTCATTCTCTGGAGAGGAATTTAACATGGGAGTGTTAGAAACCATTCGAAAGCTGAGACTTGAGGATACAGCCCGACGTTTTCAAAACTTTTTTATAACGCTTTAGAATGTAGATCAAAATTGTAATTCACACTGGCTTTTCGCTTTAATTTTTATCATGCCTATAATTCGCTAGCAGCTGAAAAGGGTATCAGTGTGTACAGAAACTTTGTAGCGTCGTAGTCAGCCGTTCCATCCGGCGTTTTGTTCAGAACGGAGAAAAATCTCTCAATTTAATAATAACATATTTCTATCGCCCCGCTTCGCCTCGTCCTGCCACGCCTCGCCACGGGCCTTGCCGTGCCCAATAGCTGGTAAACAGCGTTGCTAAAAATGTGAAAATCAATCTTAGTTTTCCTGCTGAACCGTATTTACAAAAAATAAGCACATCGCTAGAATGAGGAAATATTATGCCGTCAGATGATCATATAAGACTAAAGAAGGAGCTTTATTCAATGAGGTTTGAAGCGCAAATCAGAAGACCAGAGGAGATCAAGGGATCAAAAAAGCTTTTCAAACGAGAAACAAATTTCTTAATTCTTTGACGCTGTGCTGTAGTTTGAGCATTAGCACTCTAGGGAAGGAGTTAACCCCACCAAGCTTGAGCGAGGAAAGAAAAAAAAATAGTTTTGCGTAACCTTTTTTTATTTTGAATGTCGCAACGTCTTAAAGGGACGTCTCTAAAAACCTACGGCGTGCAGCTGTAGTTTCAAGTCTCAGCTTTTGAATAATTATTAGCATTCCCATGGAAAGTCTCTCTCAAGCGAATTAGATTGATTTTTCATTCATTTCTGGTAATCAGGAGGAACCGTTATGAGCTACATAGAGTGAGGTCGTGGCCAAAATAAACCTTATGGAATAAACTATCATGACGACAAACAAAATGACAATGTATCGAATCATATCAAATAGACCGATTTGGAAAGCCATGCAAGTCTTAATGTGCGATAAGTGATTGCTGATAAGATCATATGTATAAAAGATGAAAGTGAGCAACATGATTTCATTTCATTCACTAACAACGCAACAAGAAGTGGCCACTTGTAAGGCCGTGTGTGCTCCACGTTCGGAGTCACACGGCAACTGTCGCCGCTGCAGAACTCAACTAGTCGCTCCGACCGCGAACATCGATGGACAAGCCAAGGCGAAGGTCCAGATTTGTCTCCTGTAAGCAATCGGGTTTTTTTTCGGATAATGGCTGTAACTGCGTAGTAAACTATAGGTCTTCTTCGCGTAAGTACAAGCTCATAAAGTCTATGAACGTGTGAAGTAAACTGTGACTTATACTTTTCTGTTTTCTGCATCCTGTTTGGTTCCTTTGAAAGGAACGATTTCTTTCTTATTTTGATTTTAGGTAATCATTCGAAATTTGAAATTAAGTGAGAACGGTGTATTTTGTTTCCTGAATGGCTCGTTTTTTGCGTTTTAACAAAGTTGTTTCACGTCTAGAGATTTCCAGCCAAATAATGTCTTGCTCTATAAATCATTGGCAGTCATTCAATATTACAAATATCAAAGATTTCAAAAATATTATTGCTTTGTGGAATGGGTTTTCGGAGCGCTGTACAGTCGAAAGATGACTGGATTTCCCACTCTAAGAGGTATTATTTTGCGTCGTTGACCCTAAGACTCTGCCTTTTTTGCAACATATCGACTATGTGCGAAACGTGATCTTCTTTTGAATGCTGCAATGCTCTAATCAGTTTTTTTTTGAAAATCAACAATATCTCTGAAATCCATTGGATTTGCGCCTTCAAATGATTACCAAAAGTCTAGCGGAAAAGCTTTGTTTAGCGAGAAATGCTGAGTGCGAAAGATATTGAACATTTTTACTGTTAGAAAGCAATAAGAATCTTGCTTTGATGAAAAAAGTATCCCGCAAAAATTGTCGAAATGTTAGTCATCAAATGGATTCTGAAACTTTGAAAAAAAATCAAAGGACGCGGTTTTCTTATAAAGTTAACACAGTATGCGAACATCGAAAGCGATCCAAATTTGAGACACCTAGTCATCTTCTGACTCAAAGCATCGAGTGTTTTCAAAAAACATCGCATTAGACATTCAGTATAATTTTCAAGAATATTTAGAGTCTTACCCGAAGGTTTGGCATGTCAGAGCCATACACGCGTTTTTAGAGGTCTCACCCTCCTCGTCAGTGGCCCACGTCTTTCAGCAAGCCTTGCACTGTAACAAGGGAGAGGTGAATGTCGGTGATGACACAATGGGCCGAAACGTCGTGATAGCACAGTGTCATTGTCCATGGTGTCGTCACCACATTCGCCTCCCCCCTTGCTACAGTACAGGGCTTAATGAGGTGCGTGGACCACTGACGAGAAGGGTAAGACCTCCGAAACACGCATGTATGGTTCTGGCATACCAAACCTCGGATAAGGCTCCAAACATTCCTAAAAAATTATATTGAATCATCTTCTGACAGTTGCAGCTCTCCAGAAAGTTATTTCGACAAATCAACTACATCGTTAAATTTGCTAAGATTCGCCTTATCTAATGATTATTGCTTGCTTTTGATAAAAGAGTAATCCTGTGAGAAATATTTGAACGTGTAACATAATTTTGTTCAATTGTTACAGAGCAAAACCAGCGCTTTATAAAATAAAAACATCTTTGAAATTTATTTGATTTTTACCATTGAATGATTGCTATAAAGCTCTGGAAAGTGAAAAAAAAACACGTTTTTAACAAAGGGCTCAAGTACGCTCGAGACAATGGAAAACTACTGTTTACCACTCTACTTCCTCAACGTAATAAAACTAACAGTCAATATGTTACTAATCCAAGTGAAAAACTTTAAGCACACTCATGGAATTATGTCCAGTATCGGGCTCTATAAGTCTCTTTGATAAACCACTAACATGCGTGGCTTGAATAATGATTATCAGGCATATTGAAATTTGAGCAGTGGTCTTAAGAAACACTCGAGACGAAGGATATGATATATTGAATATATTGGCCAAGAACAATCGAGTGTACAACACTCTGTGTTTGGTAAGAATTTCACTTGACATGGAGTGTAAAACGTTTGTCGTCGCTAATTCTTAGTGTGCGGACTGGAGCACCCACAGAGATTAGCAAAAGACGAGAAAGGGTAACTGCCCGACTGAAGAGATCGCAAGATCGAAACACGTGTATCGGGCTCTATAAGTCAGCCCTATTTTGACAGACCACTGACATGCGTTTCT